ATGATGCTTTCTCTGGGCTGGATATCCCACAATGGTGAGCTGACATGCTATAATATTTGGATTCATGTATCTTACTGTCTGAAGGATACATTTAAAGTAAATTAAACTAGTGCTCCTGTATGGATTGAATATATAAAACAGGCAGGTTATCCTTTTAGTATTAAATGTTGATCTCACACAAAAAAAGCAACTCTATAAAAAATATACCCCATTCCACACACACCCTCCCACCTGTGCACGTGAGAGAGATGGAAGTAATCAATTTCTCATTGATTCTAATGAGACTTCAGTAAGCATCATAGCACTGCTAAAATGTTTCCTCAAAATTCCTACCAGAATTATCAAAATCCCCATCCTCAATTCCTAACAAGAAATAGAGAAGAGGGATGAACATTCGAACTCTTTGTTGGCCCTCATTTGAATTGGCTTTACCTAATTAATATTTTGCTGTAAGACTCTCATTTTTTTCATATTTATGTGTGTTGCCCAAAAGCCCCCGAGGTTTCCATAATTCTTAGTTAAGAGCCCTCAGACTCTAATAAAGATTAATGGTCACCAAACATCACTCCTGCTACGACCATGTTTTCTACTGAAACAATATGCAATGCAAAATTCTGTAGAATATTTTTCCAATTAGGATGTGTAAAAAAATTACAAAAGCTACAAATTCCATTATGCCTTTCATTCTGAAAATACAGTGAAATTCAAGGTCTCAAGATGTCACTCTTGCAAAAATGATATTGGCAATCTTCCTTATTACACCAGAAATCTATACTTCGTGGTAGGAACTTTGATTACTATGACCTTGGAAAAAAAGATGAAGTAAGACTTCCCTGTAACAGAACCAGGAAAAGCATATAAACCCAGAATAGTCAGAGGACAAAAATATTGTAAGACCATTGTCATCCACCTGGTACCTATCGAGTGTCTCATAAGACTGTTGTCTACCTTAGATAACAAGGTGGGTAGGCAGAATCCAAAGCCAGAGTATCAGATGCATTTGAAAAGAAAGCAGGGGGAAGGAATCAGTTCTGTAAGGCAATAGCCAAATGCCAATTTTTATGTACTGGCTTCTTTCAAAATATTCAATCACACCTAATAATTGGCAGAGAACACACAAAAAAGCTCTCACTCCCATGCTGATGCATTCACTCCCCCTGGCCTACAGGGCCATTTGTAGCCACCAGCAAGAGCAAGGAAAAAACTCCAGGGGCACCAGATACATACAATTGCTTTCCCGGCCCTCCTGCCTCCAGCCTTTCTGTTATTAATACATTTTAGCCTTGCGGTTAAGAAAGGGCCCTTATAAGCACCAAAGTAACATTTTTCTCACATTTCTCTGTTAAGAGAACTAAAGAGGTTTATTTTTTTATTAAGAAAAAAATATAAAGACAAGCTCAAATATCGAATTTAACTGATGTTTCCTGCACACTTTTCATTTAATAAGCTCCTCAATGGTTTGTTAGAACTAAGAATATGTCTCACTTTTAGAATAAGATACACATTTTGTGAGATGCCCACAAAAGAATGATCATTCTTGCTTTATGACAAGTCCTATTTTTGCTGTTTTTCAAAGGATAGTTTCTCATCTTCACCTGCATGCTGCACTCTGTCTAAATAAAACTGGGTAATTAGTGGGTTCTGATCGCCAAAGAAATCACAGTAGTGTATTTCTGTTCTCATCTACTAATCCCATAACTGCATGGATAGGATTCATTTTTAAGTGATGTTTTGTAACTACTGGGGTAGATTAACACATCAATTTCACCATTAATTTATATCACTTTAAACAGTTTAATAAAATTCCAAGTGATCTATGTAATACGAATATTAGAATTAACACAAAACGGACAAGCCAGCAACAGCCACTTATTTCACAAAGCCCAGAGCACTTAGCATGCACATAAGGTTCTACTCATGGCTTCGAAGATCATATTAAATACAGATACAGTTGAGGTTTTTGCCCTGTGGTACTTATGGTCTAAAGGAACTGGTCAGAGTGGTAAAAATTAAGAATAACAGCTTAATAGGTGCTCATACAAAGGAGCAGCTGAGGCCACATGTGCAGACCAAAAAAACCTTCCAGGGAAGAACCTGAGGGGCCTGAGGGGGAATAGGGAAGTCAGGGTGACTACGAAGAACAAATGCTCTTTAAAAAACACTGGGCACAAAATCAGCACAAGTCTGAAGAGTGGTGTCGATGTGCATTGCTCCAAAACCCCTAACTCAGGGTGACTTCCCTGGAAAATACAAAGCTTGAACATAATTTTCAAAGGATGCAACAATGACTTTTGGGCAGAAGATCAGTCCTTTTTGTTCCATCAGTCATGCTGTGCTTCTAAGACATTCTGCGAAGTGAATATGCAGTTAAAACATAAGCCATTTAAAAAATAAATTAGAAGTGAAACAGCCAACACACAATTCCTTCAAATAAATTAAATACTACAAGACTTATTCTAGACTTCTCTTTGCCTTTTGGCTTCTGTCAGGACTTCTGATATCTTACTCCCCAAAATAAATTGTTCTACGTGACTTCCTATTAAAGAGAGTCAACCTTAATGGTGCCACCAAGACCTCAAAGCCAGATCACCTATTTTCTTGCCAGCAGAATGATTCCTAGTTATAAAGGAGCAGCAGAAGCAGCAGTGACCTTTGCTATCACACTTTACACCATGCTCATGACCTGCCCTTCAGGACCTCCATTCACTCTCAAACTACTCCTCCAAGGTCAGCATTATCATTACCCTTAGTTTCACGGAGGAAAGCCAAGCTTAGGAAAATTCATTAACATGTCCAAAATCCCAAAGCTGGGTCCAAGAAAAAGATTTTTAAAACAGGGTTCCATAACACCCAGGGCCAAGCTTTCAGCCCACTCTCGCTCCTTGCTTATTGCCTCCAGCAGTAGCACCCACCAACATGGAAGCTGACACAAACTGCTGTGCAACAAAGGAGCATCTGGGAGGGGCTTCTGTGGAAGAAAGAGGACAGAAGAGATCAAGGAGATTCTAGCACCTTGGGCTAAGCACTGACAGTTAAAAATGGACTGGGAGGCGGGAAGAAAGGAAAGATCTGACTCAAGATGTCGAAACACAGTTGTGCCCCTTATTCATATCTTCTCTTTGCAAGGTTTCCAAGTTTAATTGAGTTCTAAAAATATTTAATGGAAAATTCCAAAAACAAAAAATCGAAAAATTTAAAAATTTTTATTACAGTTCATTATTATCATTGTTTTATTGTTGTTGTTGCTATGCAAAGTTAAAAATTAAGCTTTGTCATGTATATGAATATATAGGGGACAGCATAGAGTATCAAGTCTGGTACTATCCACAGTTTCAAGTATCCACTGGGGCCTTGGAGGTCAACCGCAGAGACAAAGGGAAGCTACTGTGACATGCTGTTGGCACTGAGGAGAGGACAATGCAGTGACTAACTTAGTACCTGTGTTGCCAGAGTTAACCTTTTTGCACACTTGGAATTTTGTGCCAGCTCTTTAATTAGACTGGGCTTTGCTCCCCAACACCCACACCAAAGGGTAATTTTGCAAAGTAAAACATTTATATTCTTCCTTTTTCCACATTAAACAACAGCATTATATTTTAAGACAGAGTCATCATTGTATCTTTCATTTTTGAATTTTTTATTTTATTTTCTCAGTACTGGGAATGAATTTGGGGTCTCACAGATCCTAAGTAAATACTATACACTAAGCCATACTCCTTGCTCCCATCTTCTCGTTTTAAAACAAGTTGTTCCATGGGTCATCACAGAGGAAATTAAAATTGTTGATTGGTAATGAGTTCTCTTCACACATAAATAATATTTATCTATGTCTTTATCTTAATTTTGGTGAATTGTTTGATATCCTTCTCCTTTTTAAACACATGCTGAAGAATATGTATAATTCATATCTTCAAAATATCCTAGATTATGATACTACTAGGTTTTATAGAGCATAAATAAAATCTGACCCATTGTCTGATTTTATAAATAAAGTTTTATTGGAACACTGCAGCATGTACTCATTTGCACACTGTCTAAACCAGTAAGAGTAAGTAGTTGCTTCAGGGATTATACAGCTCACAAACCTAAAGTAATTACTATGTAGTGCTCTATAGAAGTTTGCCAGTCTCTGTTCCATATCATACCATGTCCACGATTAGAAGGTTGCATTATTCTTCTATAAAAGTGTCTTCCAGATAACCATTCATTGTCTCATTTATTTCTTTTTTAATTCTCTAATGTCTGTGAAGCAACTCTTACCCACCTCGCATATAGATGAAGAAGAGGTTAGAGACTGGGAGAACAGACTGCTCTAACAAGGCAGGAACACAGTACAAATAGAAGACAGGAAGGCATCAAACTGAGAGTCAGGCAGGGTCAGGTTGTACACAACTTGGTACCCAGGGAAGGACCTTGGAATACTAGCAACTGTTTCAATAATAATGTCAGAAATTTTTGAGTTACAAAGTGCTTTTAGACTTCACAAAAGATATAATCTAGCTTACCTTTTAGACATTCACTATGATGAAAGTGTTGAGATGGTCTGGAAGAGATGTATCTGGTTACTGGGAACAGGATGGCTGATCATCTCCAGGCTTTCTGTAGTAAGATCACCAGCCCTTTCCCCAAGTTATAGAGCTTAGATGACTTTAGATACTGGACACAACACAGTGAAGGAAACTGTTTAATCCACCATCCAACAAAGTTTAAAACACCACAATGACCAACCACTTCATTCCCTTCCTGGTTTACACAACACCCCCTAAAGCCCAGTGTTTTGCACTGAACCTTAAAGGCAGGGAAGCTGGTCTCAAGTGTGAACAGAAAGGAAATACTTACCTTCTGAATAAACAATTGATGCAAGGAAGGGAGTCTTTTCCTCTTTGGCTTTTTGATCAGTGGCAATGGATAAAATAAGCATTATCAATACATATTATCTAAGTAAACAAAGAGTGAAGCTTAACCATAGCTAAAGTAAATATAAATTACATTTTAAAATATACTTTTTGTTTAAGTTTTATTTTTGACACACTGAGCACTTAAGTCTTTGGTTAGGGATAGAAGCCAAACCAATAAAAAAATTCTTAAAGCAATCAAACACAATGTGATCAATGTATTTTAATCAAATGACAAACATTAAATTGGACTGCCTACCCGGACCCAGGCCATGATTTACAACAATTAGGTGTCTGTGCACTATAGAATGTTAATAAAACTATGCTAACATTTTTTCATAAGTGATTTTAAAGTGACATGGTATTTATTTTTGCACTTAAATATTTAAAGGTTTACACATCTCCTTAAACTAAGTACTATAAGAGAAAAATAGAAATGTTCACTTATTAAAATAAAAAATTGTTTCATCTCAGAAGGATTACTACAAGGTAATCTTTTATTCAACAAACACAAATTGATGTTTTATTTAATTATGCAAGATTATTAGGATAGTTGGAAATTTTGACAATAAATGTTATTCTGGGACTTGCAAGCTGGTGAGGATCTAATCCTCCACCTACGACACCAGGCAATGCACTCTATTTTAGCTTGATAAACTATATTTATATGCTGAAATGTAAACACTGCTAGGGTTTTTTTTTTTTAAGGCGATGATTGATGGACTTCTAGGTTCTAATACCACTGGAGGATTTTTCTAATTTTGTTTTTGCTGTAGGTTCTGGTGCAAGGAGAAATTACTGTTTGAAAACATCTGTATCTAAACTAGTTCTTAACATTTAGGAAAACCTAAATGAAAACAAAAATCTACAGCTAAATTTTCTCATGCCTATTTACTTATGGCCAAGAAATGCAGTGTTGCAAACTGACAAGAAGCTACATTATTCCTCTCCTTGCTCATACAGCCAAGCTTCTTGTTTACTTGTGATAGCAGAGTACTTTCTTACAAAAATTAATTTCAAATCAAAAAGGCAAGGCAATAACTACTTTCAGCACAAAACGTACCAGAAAGAAACTGCAGTTTAAGCACAGATAGCATATAATTAAGAGAAAAATCAAAGTACTCTTGAATACACATTGCTTTAATTTCTCTCCTGATGGACTTTCAGATTATCTTTAAAAGATCTATTAAAAATCCTCCTCTTGAAAAGATCTATTAAAATCGCAGACAGTTGGAGATGCAGCAGAAGGAAAAAACAGGGTCATTTTATAAAATTGATTATGGGAGCTCTCTACATGTAGTGCATGTGTCAGCAACAAGAAAAACCAACCTCTAGATAAATTCTGCAGCTATATTTTCTTCTGGAGAAAACTCTGTGTCTTTTTGTACACTGTGCAGCAAAGTGGGGTAGCAGTGGGAGCAGTTAAATTTTATCCTTAAGCATAAACATCAGGCTGGATTTTGAAGAAAGCCAACCCCAAAATAGCCTGAAAAAAATATTTTGTAATAAAAAATGGTATATACTGCTCCCCCCACCATCTAAATCTGGAATCCTGACTATCTTATTTTAAACAAGCCAAGGATTGCAAGCTTCAATCTGTTTGGATAGAAAAGAATTTATATAAATGTTTTGTTCAAGCCCAAAAGGGAAAGAGAGTTTAAATATACAGTGCATGAAAGATGCATGCCCAACTTCAAAACAGCTTAGTGCACAGGAAAGGAAAAAAAAAAAATCTAACCTTCTGCTAGTCATTCCCTGCCATCTCTAAGCCTAAATAGCTTGCAACTTGCAACGTCATTTCAATGATTCCAGCAGTAAGAGATCAATCAAAATTTCATAACTGCCCTGCTCTTTCTCCTTATGAATCTTTGGGGTGGGGGAGAGGGGCAGGAGACAGAGAAGGAAGAGGTCAAAGAGCAAATGGAAACACAATCTGTATTTTGCACTCTTTCTCTGCACTTGAGAAAGAAAAACGAGGCAGATAAATCTGTATAATACTAAACCAAATCTCCTTAATTCCAGTCAGCTTTTATCATTCAGTCACTGAGTTTGTGTGTGGAAAAATTCATGCTAATTCCCCCTAGCAACAGCCTCAGCCTATCAGGAGACTTCATGCACCATGCAGCTGCCAGCCAGAGAGAATAACTCTAACTAAGTAGGTCAGGCCTGTATTTCTAAAAATGCTACGGTCTAGTAACCCCACTGTCCCGTCTGTCTGCCCTGCCCCATAATAACCTCAATTGCTTGGTGACACAATGACATACTATCCTGTTAGAGTGCAATCACATCATGCTACATTATTCTGCTGCGAGCGGGGCTGCTGGGTGAAGGACCCTCCGAGGGGCAGCATTAATCAGGCAGCTATTCACGTCGACCAGCACTTCACTCCAGAAATGGGGACGGCATTAATGACCAGCTGTTTGAACTAACACAAACAAAATAATGTCTTCCACCCTGTTGGGTGCACAGAATAGGCTATTCTGATCTGGCAGGTTCCGCTTCTTGACTAAATCGAAGATGTAAATTAAAGGGGCTCAGACAATGTCAGCTTTGGCAACCTCGGAGTGAGTATATTTAAATTATATTACGTGTGATTCAAAACACTATTGATTTAATGTACACAGCTCTCCCTGCCTACAGTTTCCCCTAATCCACACTTAAAAAGGCAATTGCATACATAGGTAATGCAATACATATGTGTATATTACCCCAGAAGCCAAATGCATAGAGCTGAACTAAAATTGACTTCTCTTTGGGCAGAGAAACAGAGCAGTCAGGAGTAATTGTGCAGCATGAACACAAATACAAATACACAATGAATGCCATGGAGGGGCAGTGAAAACAAATACAAGTAAACATCCTAAACCTTCCAGCCAATCAGCTCCTCCCATTGTATTCCTGCAGAGGCTATCAGAGCACCACACCTCTAAGCACAAGAGACAAGGGACGGTTGTGAACGTGGCCTTCAAATCTCAACAACCACAATACCCTGCCTTGCCCCAGAATTACTAACAGACTGCTGTTTGGCTTCTGGACAACGAAAGTTCTTTCAAGGTTTAAGCTGGAGCTACCAATGAAACTCAGAACCCTGTAGTCATTTTTGCAATCTGAAATGGGAGTTTTAGACCTCATTGTCCATATTTACTCAAATGTAGCTTTTGACTTATCTCCATTGAAATGCACAAGAATAAACAAAAGCAATCTGTGGATGCAGAGATAGGAGACAGACAGTGCAGTTGGGGGGCCAGTTGGAGAAATATCGTACACTGATAGAGCTTGCACAAAAAAATCTTTAGAGTTCCCCATTTCATCTAGTAAACAAACCCCTCATATCCACACACACATTGCTAATTCAGCTTTCAGTTGTGCAGAATTCAGCAAATCCTGTACATGTAATCCATCCATATTTGATTTACAAACACAGAAAACTCCTTAATCCATGTGCCCTGGTTTGAACTGTTTGATAATTTAGTTATGACTATCTTCTTCACTTTGTGGCACACATCACAGAGTTATTCTTGGAGAGATGTAGTCACTGACGCAACCAGGAACCACTAATTACAAGCTGCTGACATTGTGCTTGTCTATGCAGCTTTGAAGTTCTGTTTTTCTCTTTTGGGCTTGCTCGGTTTCCTTCTCTCCCTTGTCCCTTTCTCGTCCCCTTCTTGCTCTGTCTTTCTTTTCACTTTAAAGCCTTTCTCGATTCACTCTAGGACTATCTGGAGAAAGGCATCTGAACGATCAGATTCTCTCTCTCTCTGGCTTCTTTCCTTCCCTCCCTCCTCTGCCTGCACACAGATCTACAGTTTGGAAGTACAGTAACAAGATCCTCGTCCACCCCGCCCGCAGGAATGCACCAACAGCTGGCCAAACAAAATCCAAAGCACAGAACTGCCTTTGTAGAATTGGTAACAAACAGTGGAGAGGCCAGACAGGCATCCCCAATGAGCTCCCCATGACAACTGCGAAAGCTTTTCTGTCTCAGGTGGGTGGTGACACTCCACCAGGCTGGGACAGGGCACTGCAGCTCCCTGTTTGGAATCTACAAGCCTGAGTGACTTTCCCCCGCCTCGCTAGAGACTGTGCAGAGGCTCAGCTTTCTACAGCAGCAACTCAGAGCCAAGCTTTCTCCACGCTGACGGCAGCCATGCTCTGCCTTGTGGCACAAGCCCTCTGAAACGCCACACCACATGCGTCCCAGTCACATGAAGGGCAGCCATCCGCACCTGTGCCTAACCATCTAGCTGTGAGCTGGAAGGACCACCTCTCTTCCTCATAAGAGGCTTGCTTTCTTTAATTATAGGCTAATCCTGGCATTCTAAAACATGTAAATATAACGCTGTGTTCATCTCTACCGAGCAGTCTGCATCTGAAGCCTGTGGTAGCCAGCTGGTGTCGAAGTCATCTGGTATATATTTATTTTGATTAAATTGATCACATTTCTATTTACAGGCTAGAAATTTTTTTTCCATACTGAATACAGCTGTGTTTACAGGGATTTGTAGAAGAAGAGGAAGAAGAAAACAAAAACCACTCCATCAGTCCTAGCACCACACAGAGCACAGAGCTTCAAGGAGTTAAAAGTGAGGCGGGTTGCAGCTGCTTTGGCCGAGCTTTCTGGCTGGTCAGGAGATGGGTGTCAAGCTGGCACTGAAAACACAAGCTGCAATCACACCCGATCCAGCAGAGTGACAGACTTCCTGTGTAAAATGGTCAGAAATCGCTTCCCCACCCCATGTCTCTACATGCACGCACATGCATTTAAATCCATGCTGCAAAGCTGTTTTCTCTGGGGACACAGTACAGCCACCCAGCCCATCAGTTTCTTCTCTGACAGCACCGGGGACATCCAGACTACAATTTACAGTTCCTCCATCCATGTACTGGCTTATAAATTATGCCATTTTCCCTAGAATAAGAACGCAGAGTGAGCAGCAATCACACAGCAGTCAGCATCTCCTTTCTCTTCACGCATTCCTCTCTGCTTTTCTCCAACTCCGCCTTGCCAGGCAGATACATCAGATACCTTGTTTATCCATCTTCAGCTCCACTCTCAGGTGAAAGGCCACCACACCTCAGCCTGGCTTGTCTTTCCAGATTACTCCCTAAGAGCAGCCGGAGCTGGGTGCAGGCAGCTGTCCTCTCCCTGCAGAGCACCGGTGGCATTGGTAACATAGGATTCCTAACATCCCCATCCTGGTCCTCTGCGTCCTCTACCATCCCTCCCTGAGATGTCCGCAGCTTTGCCCTGGCTCCCAAGTCCCCTCAAGCAGGTGAGAGGAGACCCTGGCCAGAGCTCCACCAGCAGGTCCTCCTTGTGCTGGGTGCAGACTCGCGAGTCCGGGTCCAGTGCACTATGGCGAAGCCCAGGCAGGAGATGCCGCAGGAGCCACGCAGGTAACCGGGAGGCTCGGCGTGCCCACGGCGAAGCAGCCCCGGTGCTGGGAGGCAAGACAGTCTGGCTTCAGAATTTAAAAAAAAGAAAGAAAAGAAAAAAAAAAGAAAGAAACACAAAATAGCGCAGCCCGGCGCCTGCGGGGGTGGAGAAAAAAGACACAAACCATTAAAAAAATAAAAAAGCAAGTTAAAATCAAATTTCAAAACAAAATAAAACAAAAAGCAATATAGAGATCAGAGTACTTCGTGCGACTTTTATTTCTAATGTTTCTCGGTTTATTGGCCTCCCCACCCCCTCCAAAATCTCTCTTGTCCCTGAACGCTACTGTCTGTCCATGAGTGCCGAGTCACAAATGCTGTTGCTCCAAAGTGCCGCAGACCCAGCATCACATGAGAAACCACATGACGAGCTGGAATCGGCTGCTGATGTGGTCAACTATTTCGCCAAGGCGGGGAGGAGGTGGGGGGAGCAGGAGGGAGACAGATCTCGAGTGAGACCTGCCCTTCTTGTGCTGCCAGGAAGAAATTTCCTTAAAAGAACAATGAGAAGATTGAATCCTGAAGAAATGCTTGGAAATACACATCTACTGTTACTTATGCACACTGAAGGGGAGAGACCACGGATGCTCGAAGCGGTCCCGAGGATGCTGTACCACAGACACTAGCTGGATGGCAGCAATATTATTTCTAGTGTGTATTCGACAAAGCTGATTCCACTTAAGTGGGTTCCTGAAAAGCACACACCATGTCTTCATAGCATGATCAGGCTTGGAAAACCAATTCTATTATCTTTCCTTGCAATCTGTATCTGAACTTGCATTTTGAATAATTTATTTTTAGACTAATAAGATGCTTGCCAAGGCTGCTCTTTTTCTTCTACAAGCAGAGCAGGCAATATTCACCCAAGTAGGGAAACCTTGTTCCTTTGTAGAGAGAATGGGGGAGACAGTTTGCATTGTTTTTTAAATTGCAATCACTTATTTAAAGGCATATATACACATTTGTAGCAATAAAATTCCCTCACAGTAATCACTGAATACGAATGAAACATTTCTGCTTTGTTGAACTGACATGTCTCTTATTTGCAGCTTGGCACTACACAATGGCAAATGAGGGTAATATTTTTCTAATGCTGTACGTGACTGCTGCTCCAGCCCTTAAGCCACGCAGATATTGCTACTTCTCTATAGAGTGAGAGCAAACAATTGCTTTCTGGAGCACCTATCTGCTGAGGTGCTGCGTTGCTGGGTTTGTTTTACTAGTTACAGTAAGGCACACAGGAGACAGATGCCTAGGGGTCTGTAGGTTCTGTCAGCTGTACTGGAATTTAAAAAATTGTCTCTTTCGAACACCCTTCTCAAGAAGGGAGAAGGATACCTTTTTAGGAAAAAATAATTTACTATGCCAGCTAATCAGAATGAGCGAATCATTAAACAGGTGGGGAGAATTTTCTACAACTTGCCTCATTTGATTCTGCAGGTATCAAGTTTAAGTGACTGTGACTTCTTTTATGACGTACTTATCAGATATCCACTGTGGAGGATGCCATTGACTGTCCCAGACGTCAGGGACCTGGGGAGAGCAAGGTGGACCTGTTCTCTGCTACCCACGGAGGTCAGAGTCTTGAGACTGAACACATCTCTTCTTCCTTTAAAGACAACCTTCTCCAAATGTGAATACTCCACAGTTAACCAAGGAAGACCCAACTATAACTTTACTGCATTTATCACTCTCATCAACTTCTATCATCTTCCAAAGGCAATGGGATTCTTTCTTTACAAATGGCCTTTGATTTTAAAATTTCTTCTCTTTCAGAGTCCAAAGTTCAGCAGTCATACCCCACAGTCTTCTCCTAGCTTCTCTGTTTTTTATTTCAGCCTGTGTGGCAGCCTGCCACCAAGCTACCTCTGCTACACCACCATGGTATTGGTGTCCAGAACTACCGTCCACACGGTCTGGCCAAGCCTTTGTCCAACACTGACTAAGGGCCCATGTTTCTTCATATTCATATTCTAGTAGTCAGGACGCTATTATCTGAACGGTCACTGACTATTTACATAGACTGGTCTGTTCATAATTTTCCACCTGCACGCTTCATTTAATCAGAAAAAAATTGGACTTATTTTTGTTAGTAACTAGTTGTAAAGCCCTGTAAGAAAAGCACTAATATATAAAGAGCTGGATCTACCCTCAGGGAATGTATGCTCTACAAAACATGTGACACTCTTTCCATTAGCAGTAAATATGTATTCTTGTGTATGGCTAGATGTCTCTGAGTTTTATTTCCCATGAAAATAATAAATAGGTCTAAATTTGCCTGGTAACTGTGGATTGGATAAGAAGGGCTTAAAAAGGTTGAAAAGGGAAGAATTACTTCCATCTTATTGTCTGGAAAAGCTCCCAGGAGCCCCCTACAATTTGCAGTGAGCTATGAAATGTGAGAGTGGGATCTGGGTTTTCATTAGCAATAAGAACAATGACAATAGCTAAAAATAGCCAGGTGCGATTGTATATACCTGTATTCCCAACCCTTGGGAGGCTAAGGCAGAAGGATTGCCCAGGTTCAAGGTCAGCCTGGGCTACATAAAAAAAAAAAAAAAAAAAAAAAGCCAAAACAAGCATTTTGTATGTGTCAAGGTCTTTTAATATATTACCCACTTAATCTTAACAATTCTAGGAAGGATTTTTAAAAATAAGTTATTTTCAATGATATAGTGAGAGGCATAAGAAAGACTTATACAAGTAGCCCCAAACCACAGAACAAGTAAGTGGTAAGGCGCATCTGGTCCCAAATTCATGGCTTTACCCACCATGCTTTGCTGCTTTGTAAGTGAAAAGAACAATGGAGAGGAATCCAGACAGATGATAATATAGACATCCAGTATGACCGAGGGTGTGGAGAAGGATCACTAGTTTAAGGAGGGCCTTAGTTTTGTAGAAGTGAGACTAGATTGAGAAGGGGCACATTCTAATGCCGAGTTACCTGCCCTCTTCTTGAACTATAGTGATAACATGAAAGCTTATAGGATAATGACTCTGGTGGCCATGTCCAAGATCAAAAAGGAAAAGTGGGCATCGGTTACAAGGAGAGCAACATAGTGACTCCTGAAAAAGCCTGGCTACAATGGAATGGCACCTGAACACTGGTAGTGGCAGAAGAAAAACTGAATGGGTTCTGCAGGTTTGAAGCAAAGGAAATGAGATCATTTTAATAAGTGGTCTTGAACAATGGAGAGAGCGTTGGATTGGATAAAGGATTTTTAAGGATTGGATAAATAAAGAAGGCCGTCTCTTGAGTTTAGGAGCTGGGCCACAAATCTGCTTCCCCAGCAGCTTAGCAAAATGCTTGAGGGGAACTTTTCAAAATAATAAATAAATAAATGTATTGGAAGGAAAAGTGAAAAAAAAAAAAACAGAAATGATACTATATATCACAAAAAAAAAAAAAAAAAAAAAAAAAAAAAAAAAACCCTAAATGAATCCAGGATATTTAAGTGGCTTTGAAGGGCAAGCTTTTGTTGTGACATTATACACCTACAACCAGGTTTCAACTCTCTGTCCAACTTTGGCCAGGATTCCTCTGCTATCTGCTTTCAGCAATCTCACATCTCTCCAGGCTCAAGTTGGGTAGGCAATACCCATCCTACCAAGTTCCAATACCACACTCCTTGAGTACCAGAGTAGACCTAGCCCATCCCAGTTTATTTCCTAATTGCAGTGTGCTGCACTTCTCAAAGCAGTATAACAATTTTACCATTCTTTTACTTTTTAAATAGCAAAGGGAGAAACCTCAAAAGTTTATCTGTTTTCTAACACAGTTTTAGCTAACCAGAATACTAAAATAATGAATGTACCTAATTTCGTGGACAGTTAATGAAGGTTAATACGACATACTGCCTCTGGCTCTGGAGGTAAAAAGGGCTGTTATTGCCTCATATTATAGCTGGAGGAAAAAAAAGTGTTAATGATCTTTCTCATCAGCAGTAATGAATTGAGCTTTTAATACGCAGATCTAGTCTAGTAAAAGGATAGTATATCATTGCTAAGCAGAGTTGAAGAGCAACGGTAGATAATTGAAGAGTCTGCTTACACCCAGGCTCCAAAAATTAAAAGAAAAAGAAACCAAAATAGTGCTGGAATGTTTTCATGTATATCACTTTAGATCAATTCTAAATATAAGGAGAAAACTTAGCCTTGGTGAGTAATTGACTCTGAGTAAATGGTTAAGTGTCAAAACAAGGTCACTGTTAAATTCAGTGACACACAAATGCATTAGGTAACCTGCTAACCTAAGACTGTTATGCATTATTGGACAAAGATAAAACAACTGAGGTTCTGTTTAGGCCCTAAAAAAGCTTACAATACCTTTTCCTAGGAAAATGCTTTCCTTCCTTTAACAAAGAGGAGCTATTACATTTAGTGGTAGTAAAAAAATAGTGTATATTTTTAGTAAAAAATGAATATATTCTCTTGAAAGGAAGCCAACCCACCTAAGTCTCTTTGAAGTCTTACCATAAAAGACATAACTGATATGAATATTCAGTGAATAGGACTCTTAAATCCTTTAAGAGAATATGAATGCTATACTTCATTGTTGCTATGCTGAGAGATATTCATGATGGCACGATACTGTAGAGAAAGGAACGGTCTATCCAGGCATATTTAGTAGGTTGAGAGTGGCCTTAAAACTTCATAATGTTTCTCAACATCCCCAAAATGGATCTGAATTAAGATCAGCTCTTCACAAAGCAGAGTGACAAAGTGACTAATTGCTGGCTGCTGGCAAAGGACTGACTTCCCCTCATCCTGTTCCCCTGCATTATTACCCTGTCCCATTTTACAGGGGCCAAATGTCAAGTTTAAGGTAGAGGCACTGTGTTTGTTCACCTGTGAGTGGTTTGACATTAGACTTTACAGAGCACTGTCAGGAAGTCGGTTTTTCCATGCTCTTTACAGTAAACAAAGACAGTGTGGCTGGCCTCCAAATGTTACAGAAGGTCAGGGACCAAACTACCTCAAAGACAAAGCCCGCTTCCAGAAATTGAAACACAAAATAGATGTGAGCGCCATCAACATTCCAAACTGTGCTCCTGTTCATTCTCAGTGTTTGCTTCAAACAATGTGACACATACCCAGCATAGATGCATAATAGAAATAGAATCATAAAACCCCAGGTGTTGGAAAGCACCTTAAAGGTCATTTGGTCCAACTGCAAATCTACACTGTGAATGCTGCCCTTTGAAATATCTCCTCTGTGTAATCATCCAGGCTCGGAGGGACACCTCCAGTGACAGAAATCACCGTGCCCTGGGGGACAGGCAAGCCCTTCCATCTTCTGAACTCAGTGGCATAAGTATTTTAAAAGTCCAGGGCAAAAACACCAAATTTCATGGTAGAAGAAGCCTCCCTATACCTCGTTTACCGGCTCCCTACTTAAGAGTTTGCGGCTAAAGTCTAGTGCACTGTCCACCTCATAATGTCTCAGATATTAGAGGATATCTAATCCTGTTGCCCAATCAGATTTCCCTTCTCTAAAGAAATACCTGCAGTGTTTGTAGGCATTGCCATAGGCCTCCATGTCAACTCATCTCCATTTCTCACTTGAGGAATCCAGTCCAGTTATTGCTGGCCTATAGGTGACTGACTGCACAAAATAGAAATAAAATCCTCTGGTATGTCCACATGCAGGAAACTGAACCCACCATTCCTTCATTCTAGTAGCCCGTAAGTGAGTGTCGCCTGACCCATCTCAGCCTCGTTAAGGGACACATCCTGTAGCTGAGTCTCGCTGGGTCCCACTGGCTATAGTTTGTACATCTTCTGCCTTAATCACACTGCTTGAATTTTCAGACAAGACGTTTGTGCACTGATTTTACTCGTTTTCTGTCAGCTAACCATACATGATTAGATTGATAATAAAAATGTATAAAAATGAAAGAATTAGTAAAATACGCTTAAAAAGAAACACGAATGCTTTTGTAAATGCACACATCTCTATCGGAAGTTCTGATCACCATGACGGCCAGAGTTCTCAAAAAGCACAGACTGCACTTTCTGCTTGTCCCATATTGTAATAGCACTGTCTAGGAAAAAATGACCCTGGTTACATAAAATGCCCTGACCTGGTAGAAGTAATACCAGAGAAGAAGTCATAGTTTCCTCAGCTGCAAAGTGAGAACTCCAACAAGATGCACCCAGAACCCCGCTGGACCCTAACAGTTTTCTCCTGTAAAATTTCCATTGAATTTTAAAAGTCTACTTTCACACAACAGAATTACTGTTAGCCTTTGGCTAAACTTTCTTATAGACTTTCACGGAAATTAGGAAAGCTTTACATAAAGTTGGGTCTCAAACTAAGGAAGCCAATGGTACATTCACAAATCAAAAAGTTCATATGTCCACGGTTGTGTTTTTTTTTTTTAATGTGCCAATTAAATAAATTAGGTAAGTCTGAAGAGAGCTTCTGGAGTCTTTACTCTCTGATAAAATAACAGCTTTGAATAGGTGAACCAATTACTGAGCTCCGTTTGGTAAGGAATAAATGTCATTATATGATATCATCACTTTCCTATAATTCAAATGTCTTCTTAAAATGTCTTTAATTAACTATACAGAGAGAACCTTTAGGTTGAAAAGATCTAGTTTCTTTCACATTTTTAGCTACAGCCATGACAACAGCAGTGCCTGACATCCATCAGCAGCTCTCACAATGGGAATACTGTTCACATCCCAGGCTGCAAGGGAGGGTATGGCAGGGGATGGTCACAACACAGAGCTCCAGCTTATCGGAATGTCGCCCATCCGAGCAAAATGCTCAGTGCGGTGAGATTGTGAGACACATCCAACCTTCCCAACATTAACCTGACAGTATAATAGTTGATCTTTTCACTAAGCATATTATTAGACTATGCAATTTTTCTTGGATCAAAAGAGCTAAAAATAAAAGTTGGAAAGGTGGGTTTCGTGTTCTCAAAATCTGGGCCCAGTTCTGGCCAGGCTTTCTCTCTGCACATCCCTGCACTGTGCTGGCACCACCTTGGTACACTCTGTGGAAAGCGAGGTACCTCTGGAGGTCCAGGTTTCAGCACCCTGTCTTTATGTGTTAGGAATGAGGTATAATTTTGCGGCTTTGTAAGGCCATCTTCTCTCAGTATATATGAGCTATGATCAAACATGGTAAATGTTTAAATTTTTAAAAATATATTACAATAAAAGACACCCTGCCATTGATTCTCCTCCATACATGAAATACTCCCCCTCACTTCAAATACACATGTCCCACTATTCTGGCCACTTTCTAAAGCCATTCTGAATGTCCTTCCCTGTATGTTTTTTAATTGCTTTGTCCTGGTTGTCTAATTGCTCTCAACAGATAAAAAACATTTACATTTCATAGTCATTTTGACTTTGGGGAAGAGCCAGAAGTCACAAGATTATACATCAGGTGGAAAAAAATGCATGTGAATATACTGTAATGTCTTTATTTGACATAAATTTTCATACATATTTTGTATCAATTCAGGATATTGGTGCAGTCACAAACAGCACAACCCAAAGCATTCACCTAAGAAGACTTCCACAACTGCTTCAGAAAGTGGAAGGACCAGTAAGTGTGTTTGAAGCAAGAGAGTATATTTGGAAGAGGATTAACAGAAATCTGTCTCTTAGTGTAATACAGATTTTTTTAAATATTCACCATATTTTTGGACCATATCTTATAAACTATCTATATTTCTGAGTTTTCTGTTGCTACAACAAAAATATCTGAGGCCAAGTATTTATAAAATAGATGAATTTGGCTCACAATTCTGGTGAGTGGAAGGTCCCAACACCATGGTGCCAGCATCTAGTGAAGGAGCATTGACTGTATCACAACATGGTACAGAAGCAGAAGAAGGCAGACATTCGTAGGAGGGATCATATTTGTAAAGTGGCCTCACTCTGGAACAGTCCACTCTAATGGGAGCTCACTCCTTCCAAGAGTGGACCTCAATGGCCTAATCATCTTGTATGAGGCTCAACCACCTAATGGTTCCCACCTGTCAACATCATCACTGAAGACCAAGCTTTCAGCACAAGAATCTGTAGGGGACACAAAATAGCCACACCACAGCCCTGCGCAAGCTGCTTATGTTCCTGAAGATCCCAAGCTCATATTTTACCCCAGTTTCTCTCATTTTTAGAAGCCTTATTGCAGAGTACCCTCTGTAATAACAATGTCTTAGTCTCAAGCCTATATCTGGAGGCCAAGCAAAGGCATCTCATACAGATCCCTCCCTTTGAGTACAATGGCCACACAGCACTCCAGAGAGTGTGAACAAGAAGCCATTATGAAACGCTACCTGTGTGGTCCAGGCATAGGCTGTCAGATGCACAGAAACTGATATTTTTTGCTAGTTGTAAAACATACCTAGCAAATTAAGTAGCAGACTGTTAC